CGCAAATACAGATCCAACTACATTGGCCTATACACATACAGCACAGCAATTAAGTAATAAAATGAACTAGGATCACACTAATCAAGCACGTTATTAATCTCACGTGTGCCACTCAATATGGCCGCCGCTTGAGTGGGGCAACTCAGAATAATAACGTGCTGGATTAGTGTGATCCTAGTTCATTTTATTACTTCATTGCTGTGCTGTATGTGTATAGGCCAATGCCTTGGCTGGCGCTCGTGCAGAACAAGTTTCTTGGGCAAACCTCTTAGATGTAACGAAACCAGAAGTCAGGCAGTCGCAGAACTCGATAAGTTCTCAGTGTCGACAGATCACCGGCCCAAGTAGCTCCGTCGGCTAACGAAGGGAAGGGGGGGGAGGAGTTCGATGACATCACGGACATCGACGTCACCGGACTCCTCCACCCTTCCCTTCATTAGCCGACGGAGCCACTTGGGGAAGGGGGGAGGAGTCCGGTGACAGTATGTGACATGGGGATCTTAGATTGTAGGCTTCTCGGACAGGCACTGATGTGAATGTGCAGTATGTAAAAGCACAGCATTGTCAGCACTATAGAAATTATTTATTTAAACAGCTTCATTACTTCTCTGGAAAAGCATACCCTTATTATACATATGAGTATTAGTTAACCATAAGCATTTAGCCCACATTATTTAACAGGATAGTTTGGGTATGAATTAAAGATCCTCCCTGTACCACAGCTGTGAACAAAAAATGTAATGCCTAAAGCAGTGGAAGTGGATGATTTCATTTATTTTGATAGAAATTTGTGCAACTGTTGCAGGACCTACAAAGTTAATAGCACCATCTTTTTTATTCTACCTGTCCTATGCTTTCAAGAAATATATGGTATATGAAAGTGCAGTTGAGATTTAAAAGAAAGTTAAAATTGCAAGAATGGTATGGCCAGCTGAGGATAAAAGTGCAGTGCAGGGTCTAGCTGTGCAAGGGTTAATGCAGCTTGTCCTCCGAAGCCCAATGATTTTCAAGGGGTACCCAGGGCAAGGCAAAATAACACAAAAAAAAGTTGGATATCTTTTGTGCTCCCCAGCAGCTTTGCTGCAAATAGCTGATCAGTGGGGCTCCAAACTTGCTAGTCGTAATGGAGGCTTGGATGAAATAGTTTCGGCTGGGTGGATGAAGGTGGAAAACCCCTTCAATCATATAATTATAATAAGTGTACTGAGACTGAACAGTAAACTGTGCTACATACATCAGAAGCTCCTAAAGGTGAAAGCAGGGCTGGAAAATGTTTATGACAAGTTCACAGATGTTTTACAATTTTAAAATGTACTAGTGACACCTAACGTTCATTTTCAGTAATGCAAGTTTTCAGTTAAACACATTTGTAGTACAGAGGATTTACTTTTCATTTTAGAACAGACTAAAGAGGATATCAATTCAGTCAAAACACTAAATTGCCTATCACAAAAAGTAAACAAACATTTTTAATGCACTAATGAGAGGGTAGTATATGTTTGCAAATAATTTGATAGGAAAAATTAAAATTTTAATAGTGGCTGCCTGGGGTTAATGGACTATAGAGAAAAGACAAAAGGTACCACATGCACTTACATTCACTTTCCCAGTTGTAGTATGCAGTCTAAGCACAATATTCATAATAACATGTTATGCTCAAAAGGTCTATGGACACCTGACCATCACATCTACAGTATGTAAAAGTTTATCAATAGAGTCTCTTAGGGTCCGTGTCAACGGGCTTTTGTCTGCTTCAGACACATTTTGCATTGAAATGCAAGTCTATGAGACTGCAAAACCTGCTTGAAGAAAGTCAGAAGGAGGTCAACTGCAGATCAGATGTGCCTGAATGACCTCAGAAACATCTAAAACTGATGTTAGGCCACGTTCACACCAGAGACAGTGCTTTCCGGCCCGATTCTGGCCAGGAGGGACTGCATCGCATTGCGGCCGGCTCACTATGTTGTGGGGCAGGAGGGGCGTAGTGGTCCATTGAAGTGAATGGCACCGTAGCCACGCCCTCCGGCCGCAATGCGAGTCGGCCGCACGGGAGCGCAGGGCACATTATGGCTGCGGTCCAGTCCGGTCCGAACAAAATAATGCTTGCAGCATTTTGTTCGGACCGGACTGGACCGCAGCCATAATGTGCCTTGCATTCCCGTGCGGCCGGAGGGCATGGCTACAGTGCCATTCACTTCAATGGATCTCCATAACCCCTCCTGCCCCACAATATAGTGAGCCAGCAGCAATGTGATGCAGTGCGTTCTGGCCAGAATCGGGCCGGAAACGCACTGTATCTGGTGTGAACGAGGCCTTAAACCGATACCATCGATACAGGCCCAAAGCCCATCTACTGAGGCTCTTAGCTGCGTAGAGATAAATGCAGTAACTAAGTATATGCAAGCTAACCTACACATCTCTTCTATTTTTAAGCATGCTTCATTGCATCATGTAATGGGATCCTAAATTGTCATCCTCAAACTTTTAACTGCAGATTTGCAGCAGCTGCAGTTACCCATTAACCCAACAAGTCATGTAATCTATAGTTATGTGCTACTTAATCATATATTGTACCCCTTATGCAAGTGGATAATAAAAATAACAGTGTTCTTGAATATTTAAGCTAAAAAAAAATAAAAAAATAGAAATAAATAGGAAATACACCTCTAAATGAAACAAACTTAATTCCTCTAACATGTTAGCAAAAAATAGGAAAGATATCAGTGGCGGGCTGAACCAAAAAGGTACTATATATGTGACCTGGTAAGGTCTTTTTTCTTAGAAGGTTGCTCTCCAGTGTCAAGGGTATCCACTGGGTCCCCAAAAAATCCAGAAAAAATGGAAAGAGAAATAAGAGTGCCATCGTTGTGTGACAAGTCTAGTATAACTTTTATGATCCAGAAACAAAATCCTCTGAAAATAGCCAACGTGTTTCCGGGGCTAATAGCTCCACCTTAATCAGGACTTATAATGATGATGCTTGATGAGGCACTGGTCAATAAGAACAAAGAGTCAACATTTAAGCTGTCAATTGGTAACATCATCGGCCTAAACCCTGATCCTTTGTTCTTTAAGGGAAGGGTATGTCATGAAGGAATTAACTCTGTCATCACCAGAACCCTACAGACCAACTATTTTAGGACTGCTTGCCATTGTCTTTTGTTGAGGTGCAGCTAAAGATTTGCTCCAATGTAAAAAAATAAGCACTGCAGGGTAGGTTGGGAGTTGCTGATCTCTTAAAATAATACCTTGCAGCCCTCACAAAATATCATGCCGCGAAAGAGACCCCAAGCTGGCTAAGCCTTGAGGAATCCTTTTTTAAACCAACTGCGGTGGCCAATCTTCTCTGGCAGACCCCCAAACACAGACCTCCTCAACTCCACCCCATTACCTCTTTCTCTCTTCGACTCTGGGACAGGATTAAAGAGAGTCAGCCAATTTGATCTCTCCACACCTGCCACTATTATCCTTCCTATATAACCCTTACTTCCCCCCAGCTTATTCCAACCCCTTCTACTTTGTTAAATGGTCCCTGCGTGACCTTACGCACCAATGGCAGTTCCAAACCGAATCTGGTGTGAAACCTTTCCCTTTCCTACGAGATAAATATCGTCTCCTTTCTAGAGAACTTTTCCTCTACCTCCAGATGAAGAATTTTATTGCTAAATAGTCTCCCCAGATGACTTCTTATAGACAGCTATCTTCCTTTGAACGGATCTGTCGGGACAGCCCTCATGCCCCAAGTGTAATCTCTGAGATCTACTCTTCTCTGCTCTTGCCATCTGGTACCACTCCTCCCTCTTAAGTTCTGAAATGGAATAGTTAACTGGGGCCGCCCCCGGATGAGGCCACATGGCAACAGTCCTGGTCAAACACAAAATATAGCTTGCGCTGTGCTAGCATGCTGGAGATCAATTACAAGGTCATACTTCGCTGGTATATGGTGCCCACCCGTGTGGCCACCTTCAACTCCCAGAGCTCACCACTCTGCTTTAGCTGCTGAGAACTTGGTACTTTCTTCCATGTATGGTGGCAGTGCCCCATAGCCTCAACTTTTTGGGATCGTGTTTTTCGTTTAATCTCCACTACTATGGGTAAACCAATTCTGAAAGACCCCAAATTTGCCCCTCTTAGTTGTAAACCGGAGGGCCTCCCCTTCCCTGGGTTTAAACTCTCACTCCACATATTGACTTCAGCAAAAAGGAGGTAGCCCAGTCTTGGTTGACAGACAAACTGAGCGTCTCTAGTGTTAAGCGCCATGTTAACTGGACAGTGTCCCATGAAAAGCATACGGCTTAACTTGACAATACCATGGGTAAATTTGAGATAATTTGGACCCCTTGGATCATAAATTGTCTACCCTGTATTTCCCATGGTTCCCTTCTCACATTATAACTCAACTACTAAGGAACTTTGTTATGGATATTTACCACCTTCCCCCCACACAGTCTCTTTTCCTCCTTTCCTTTTCTTCTTCTCCTTCTCTTTTTCCTACCCGTTGTGTGATTGTATACCCAGCTATCAAGACCGGCTCTTCTAAAAGCTAGCGACTATCGCTGATTGATTAATATTGTAGTACAGGATCTTCTAAGTCTCTGCTTGTACTTTTCTTAAAACGAATGCAATACACAGGATTGCTCTTCACCTAAAATGTGGATGCTCCACGCTGACCGAGCTTCTAACATTCACTTTATAGATTATTAGATATTGCGGTGCACTTTGCTTTGCCTCAACTCATCTGTACTACTGTTTTTGGTTTCACTCTTTGTACACAAAAAATGTAAAATTTTACGCTGTTTACGTATTATGTATCCTGCAATTCTTAATAAGAATGTAAAAATATGAGTGCTGTAGCAGTGAGTGCTCTCAAGTAGCCACATACCCCATGATGTGACCAAGCAAAAGATTATTCCCCAAACTCTGAAAAAGTGTTGGCTTAGTCCATGCTCATCAGTTTTAAAGCTACGATCTTCACCAAGTAAACAAAATGATATACTCACTGGTATGCTCCAAATCTGCAGCCCATCTGTATATCCAATCATGAGAAGTAACGGAGGGTCACTGCCAGTGCTGTGCATTTCATGAAGTTCCATGTTCCTGTATCCATCTACAATGGGAGGGTAGAGAGAACATTAATCATGCCACAAAAAAGTTTTAAGATACAAAAGATGCAGACGTGTGTGGCCTGCTAAGAGATGTAATTGTTTTAAATGAATATTTTCTTTGCAGCATCATTCAAAAAAAATAATTTTAATAATTAAAGAAATGCCTACCATCTCTGCTAGAGGCAAACCCATCCAAATATGTTATTTTCTTAAGATCTAGTTTACACAAGCACATGTTTAAAATGGTGTAAAGAGACATCACTTTACATCATGAGCGTCAGGGGGCTGATGGGGATATTATACATATGATCTTGAACTGCCCTATTGTCAGACCATTTAGGTCTCAGATTACAGAATTTGTCTCACAAATTTTTTAAATTTCCATTATTTGTAACCCAAAGTCGTGCCTATTAGGGGTATTTGGTGATAGGTTATCTTGGAAGCGCTCAAAAGACTATTTCTAATTTATGCTAGGAAGACTGTAGTATTACACTGGATTTCCACAGCACCCTTTAATATTAATGTCTAGAGAAGACTGGTGAATGCTGTCCTCCTTCTCTATATAATAACATATAGAGGCGAGGCCAGAGGTTGCCCCTCTAAATTAACAAGATTTGGGGGAACTGGGTTTTATGCTTCAACACCTGTGAGCAACCCTCTACAACGTAATCATATTGGCTACAACATCAGTTTTACTATAATATGGTTTCGGTTCGACCCTGAAGTCATTCATGTATATATTTCTTCCTTTATAAATGTCTACTGTGTACTGATAACACCATCACAAACACGCATTGTTCTGGGTTTCCTTTTGTAAAGATTTAGGGGGTTATTCACAAAGTTAGACGAAGGATCAGCCATAGCTCTGGCTGATCCTTCAGGTAGCTTCCGTTGCGGGAGGGCTGCTGTATGGGCCATTCATTATAGCCCGTACTGCTCCCGAAGGCGGCGGAGATATGCTTTGGCTCGACCGAGCCGAAGTGACAGCCGAAGCGGGGTGAACGGCCAGCAGAATACCCCACAAATGACAGCTGGGTGGAGCCAGCCGTGTTCTCACGGCTGGCTCTACCCAGTTGTAATTACTTGGCTGGGACCTACTAGAAGACTCTAGCAGGTCCCGGCCAATAGGAAACAGTTGGGCGGAGCTAGCTTTCACTGCTAGCTCCGCCCGATTGTTTTGGTTTGTTTTTAGTTTTAAAAAATCTTTATTTTTTTATGTATTATTTATTTACATTTGAAACATTTTTTTTTTACTTTTTTCATTGATTTCCTATTCTGCTTGGTACCACGGAGTTACCGAGCAGAATAGCCGAGCTGCATGCTATTCACTCACTGCCGTTCGGCCGGTATGTGAATAGAGGCGAACGGCAGCGAGTGAGCTGGCGGACCTTCGGCCCAGCCGATGCAGATGTTGGATCGGCTCAGTCGAAGTTCTTTTGCACTTGGGCTCAGCCGTACATGCAGAGCATGTTCGGCCGACTGAAGAGCAGCCAAAGCCAGCCGTACAAGCCTGAAGTGAATAGCCGAACAGCGTTCGGCTCACTTCACTTCGGGTGGGTTAGTCACTCAGCTGCCTTCGGCAGCTTTGTGAATAACCTTGTTAGTTTTGGATTTACAGGTTCTTATACTTATTTAGTATTAAACCTGCCCTTATATATATTGTGGTTACATATGTATTTGTATTGTGCTACTGTTGTGTATTATGTGAGTAACTGTGCCATGTAACTGGTAAAAATAAAAAAATGCCTTCTGTGCCTTCTAATTGTGACTTAAGTAGAGTGAAAGATGTCCTTACAATATGGAATCATGATTCACTTGCCTAATTCTAATGAACACACATGCCATCTTCATAATTATCTTAATTTTGAATTTGACATTGATTGGCATCACCTCCAACCCCAGCTAGCTGCAAGCCCCATATATATAGAATTTACAGGGTTAGTAAGCAAGCTACAGAGTGACCTACTTTGCAAAAATATTGTAAAATTATTAGTTGATTCGGTATCTGTAAAAAATGTATCTTACCATTTAAATCTGAATTTTCGAAACGGACCCAAACTATTTTTTCTTTCTCTTCCAATGTAGGTGATCCACTATATGCCTGAAAAATAGGCCAGGAGCATTTATCATACTTCAAACCAAACTAAAATGGTAAATACGACTAAAAAAAACAAAGTATCTTTAAAGCCCATTTCAAACTTTTCAGAGGTATTTTTAAAATAACATATGCCAGTAATGTAGTAATGTACACTGGGTGTACATGAAGCAGGCGTGTGCAGTTGCTGTATATGAACACACAAACTTACTTTTTTGTTAGCTTTCCTCTTCATAGCCTCATGGAAATGGCTGCCTCTGTGTTTTGCAAGCTTTTTCTGAGCTCTCACTTTCATTAGTATTTATAGTGGCAGCCACCCCCCTCCCCCCGAACTGTGTATTGTATGCAAAGGCAGAGCTGGTGTTTACTGATCATGTTACAATGAATAACCGGGAGGGGGGCAGCTATTTAAAGCCTGATTACAGTCTGGGACCCTGGTGTCAGTATGATTTTCCTGTGGAAAACGGTTTTTAATTTGTAGGCTTCAGGCCTAATAAAATAGTTCATTATAAAAATGAAGAAAGTCTAAAATGTGAGTCATGGAAATGTACACATATATACATCACCACTGCACCTCTACATTACAAAACCTAATGCTAATCACTTACAAAAGGTGGAAATGGACTTTAAGCTAGAGAATTAAGTCTTTAAATGTACTATTCCCTTAAAGATGTGTGTTTATGCTACACCCCCAACAAAAAGAACTAGGGATGCACTGATATCGTTTTTTTGGTATCGAGTAGGAGTACCCATATTCCAAGATCCAGCAGACCAGACGCCTGCTCTTTGCAAATACAAATGTAGCAGGCAGCCCCATTATGCATAACCAGGAAATCATCCGAATGTGACTAGCACAAGGGCTTTTCTTTCCATCCATACACTGAGTGGCCAGATTATTATGACCACTTGACGTTTGTAGGCAAATTAGCTTTAATTTCGCGCTGAAGTTGCCAGACCATTATAAATAGGGAAGCAAGTTGCTTACCACGACAGTAGAAGTGATTTTTTTTCTTAAGGTATGGGTAAACAACGCGATTTAACAGCCTTTGAACGTGGGATGTTGGCACTCGAGCCAAGGAGTGAGTATCAGCAAAACAGCAGAATTTGTTAAATGTTCAAGAGCAGCTGTTGTTAAAGTGTTTAAAGACTGGACTGTCAGCCGAAAATCTGGGTCTGAACGTGCGAATTGTGGCCGTCAGCACTAGTCAATGTTAGGGCAGAACGGAGAGTGACAAGACTGGTACAAGACAACAGAAGGGCAACAGTGCAGTGTCAGATTCCTCGCATCACCTTTCAACATCTCGTGGAGTCGCGAGGCGGCCCAACGAAGTCATCTAGTGGAGTCATCTCGCGGCCCAACGAAGTACTGCTGGGGTGGTCATAATAATCTGGCCACTCAGTTTATATAGCTGCTTTATCGAGATGTTGATGCAAAACAGCCCACGGTCACTACAGCTGAACAGACTCTATACAAAATCCCTGTGTGGTCTCTGATCATCTTATGAGAAGGAAATAAGGCACCAGGTGCCCTAAAAGGCTGCCATTTGAAAACTAAGCACCCATGCAAAGTATAAAAAGCTAAGAATTATCATAAGCCACTGGTACATAATTGCAGTTGTAGAGGATACAAATACTGCGGCAGTAGAAAGTAATGCTACATAACTAATGCACTTACCTGTGGAACAACATCTTGAAGAAATGTAACAACGCTTTCCATATAGGACTGTTCCCTGAAAAACAAAGAATTATATTATATCAAAATGAGTCTGAAACACAGCTATTTTGCATTAAAAAGAATAAGACCACCGTATATAACATAATGCCTGATAAGTGATAACCCATATGTAGAACACTATAGGCCCTCCAGGATCTACATTTTTCATGTGTACTAATTTTTCTGTCTAACTTTACTTTCACTAGAACTGAAAATGCAATAATGCAATGATTTATCAAAGTGAACATGTGGACTTGCCTTCCCTTTTAAGGTGAATTAAAGTTGAACTTCAGGTATAAATATTTGTATAGTATAATTGTATAGTTACATCCAGCTTGGCCCAATGTAAGTGCACTAAACTCTCAGGTATCCGGTATTCAACTAACCAGAACTCATCTAACCAAGGGAAAAAAATCCCCTGTGTGCTCCCTGTTTTGCTGATCTGTGTTATGTGTTATCCTGGAAATGACTGTGTGTCTATTTGTTTTTGATTACTGCATTTAAATATTAATATGAAGTCAATACAGGGTTTATGTTATGGTATAGTGTGGCATTAGTTAGACCTATTTTTAGGGCAACAGTGCAGTGTCAGATTCCTCGCATCACCTTTCAACATCTCGTGGAGTCGCGAGGCGGCCCAACGAAGTCATCTAGTGGAGTCATCTCGCGGCCCAACGAAGTACTGCTGGGGTGGTCATAATAATCTGGCCACTCAGTTTATATAGCTGCTTTATCGAGATGTTGATGCAAAACAGCCCACGGTCACTACAGCTGAACAGACTCTATACAAAATCCCTGTGTGGTCTCTGATCATCTTATGAGAAGGAAATAAGGCACCAGGTGCCCTAAAAGGCTGCCATTTGAAAACTAAGCACCCATGCAAAGTATAAAAAGCTAAGAATTATCATAAGCCACTGGTACATAATTGCAGTTGTAGAGGATACAAATACTGCGGCAGTAGAAAGTAATGCTACATAACTAATGCACTTACCTGTGGAACAACATCTTGAAGAAATGTAACAACGCTTTCCATATAGGACTGTTCCCTGAAAAACAAAGAATTATATTATATCAAAATGAGTCTGAAACACAGCTATTTTGCATTAAAAAGAATAAGACCACCGTATATAACATAATGCCTGATAAGTGATAACCCATATGTAGAACACTATAGGCCCTCCAGGATCTACATTTTTCATGTGTACTAATTTTTCTGTCTAACTTTACTTTCACTAGAACTGAAAATGCAATAATGCAATGATTTATCAAAGTGAACATGTGGACTTGCCTTCCCTTTTAAGGTGAATTAAAGTTGAACTTCAGGTATAAATATTTGTATAGTATAATTGTATAGTTACATCCAGCTTGGCCCAATGTAAGTGCACTAAACTCTCAGGTATCCGGTATTCAACTAACCAGAACTCATCTAACCAAGGGAAAAAAATCCCCTGTGTGCTCCCTGTTTTGCTGATCTGTGTTATGTGTTATCCTGGAAATGACTGTGTGTCTATTTGTTTTTGATTACTGCATTTAAATATTAATATGAAGTCAATACAGGGTTTATGTTATGGTATAGTGTGGCATTAGTTAGACCTATTTTTAATAGTAACTCTCAAGCAAAGTGTTCACATCTCTTTCTCACTTATACAGGTGAAACTCGAATAATTAGAATATCGTGCAAAGTTCATTTATTTCACTAATGCAACTTAAAAGGTAACACTAATATATGAGATAGACTCATTACATGCAAAGCAAGATAATTCAAGCCGTGATTTGTCATAATTGTGATGATTATGGCTTACAGCTCATGAAAACCCCAAATCCACAACCTCAAAAAAGTAGATTATTACATGCAATCAATAAAACAAGGATTGTACATAGAACAATATCGGACCTCTGAAAAGTACAAGCATGCATATGTACTCAGTACTTGGTTTGGGCCCCTTTTGCAGCACTTACTGCAATTACTTTTGCACGATATTCTAATTATTCGAGTTTCACCTGTATATCAGCACTCCACTATATATTTCACACATATCTGGTGGGAGTGTTAACCTATTTGTGATTTTTAGGAGAGAGTCATTCAGCTATTTAACTTATCTAGACAATAGATTTTTTTTATTTTTTGCCGCTAGACAGGTATTCAATATTAATTGTGCATTGCATATGCATTAACTGGTAACTGAATTATTATTCTGTCTTTGACAGTGAAGCCAGTGTATTTTACTACTGTATAGAATAAACAAGCTGTAAATGGTGCAAATACCTCACCTTGCATTTAAATGCCTGCTCTTGCAAAGCATTAGTAATTTGTTAGGATCTTTTCAACTGATTTTTTAACCTTAGAACTATAGGCAAAAATTTGAAATTAATTGTTTTTCGGCATAAAATGTTAACACCTTTGCAAATACTACTAAATGCCTGTATCCTGTTAGAGCACTCTTCTTTATGTAATTTAATGTTAGAGAGTGACATCACTCAGCTACCTCTTGAGAAATGGCAGCGTTGTCACACTTATGTCAGCTAGGTCTGTAAGAGCTACTACACCATATGTCGACACTGGGGAAGAGGTGTGAACAATACTGTTGTTTCATCTAATGGACAAGCTATAAGCATGTCCATCAGGCACAGGACCTGCCCAACTCTACCCATGCAAACTGGCTTAACTAACCAGTTAACGTACCTTAACTGGTAACAGCCCAAAAGCACAAAACAGATCTGCATAAGGCGCAAGGGAGCTGTAGTGTATCCGTGGCTTGCCCCTATAAATGGGATGATTTGCAAGCTGCAGAATAGTCCTACTAATCACCAGCTCAATTTCTGTAAATGATAGACAGCCCGGGGCAATGGAAAATGCTAAATTGTGAATATAGGAAGGCAATTAAACTTTTTATTTTACATAGGGTACTCTAAAAGGCTCTCCCTGGGCAGTGTAAATGGCTTCTGTTATATGATGTACTTTAAATCAGGGCATAAATGTCAGGTAGTTAAGACATTTGATGCTTGATAGGAAGTATGTTGCTCACATATAGAAACAGAAGTCATGTTTTGTTAAAATGCAATGTAAAATGAATGGATGCGGAGTTACCATTTTTTTAAAGTCCCAACAAAATGTTGAACAAATGTATACACTGCAAAAGAGGTGCAAGAAGTGTGAATGGGCCTTCAGTCATTTATTTTTGTATATTATAAAAGATTCCAGACTGTAGCCCTGCCTGCCACTGCTATCTTGCCTCAATTTTTCTGAGATTTGGTCACTGGGTATTTGGTGGCACAACCAAATGTGACTTTTAAGCACCAATGCTCCACAATTACCAATCCCAACTGTTCATCATGAGCCTAAGGGCCTGTTCACACGATGTCCGTTTTCTGTGCTGACCTGATCCGTACGCTCCTGCACTAAAAATGCATCCCAATGTATCCCTATGTGTTTTATGGGCTACAGTTCTCACATGCGCAGTCCGTTCAGGTTATGACAGAAAAATACTGCATGTCACATTTTGTACGGTCAGGAAACGGTCCGGAAACGCAAAACGCATCAAAAAGCCGTCATAAAACGCACTGCGCTGCAGCTAACATACTGACAGCCCCACTCCTGCAAAAAAAAAAACGCGGCTAAAACGCGGCATAACACATAGCACCGCGTCTGCTGATCCGCACCTGATCAGGACCTGAAACTCATGTGAACAGGCCCTTAGACTTCATCTGCTCTTTAATACTGAAGCTACACACAGGGCCGGTGCTGGGCTTCCTGCCTACACAGGCAAGGTGAATTTTTGCGTGGAGTAGTTGTACATGGCAACCAATCAGTTTCTTTCTTTCATTTTCAAATCTTACCTGAACAAACTGTAGAGAGAAGCTGATTGGTTGGCATGAACAGTTCCAGATTTTGTCTGCTCCAGTTTTAATAAATTACCCCCCACATTGTCTCTGCATAGGGCATCCCCAAATCCCCATAAACCCAAAAGTGTACATGGTCGGCCTGCAAATTTGTGTTCCCCGCTGTAAGTTTTCTGAAGAGCATTGTGGAGATGGTACTATCATCTTTTTTGTGAATCACAAAGTCCAAAAAGGAAATCTGTGTTTGATAAAGTGGTAGAGTATTTTAATTAGGTATATCCACAAAAAATGAAAAAATACGAACATAGAGGGCAAGGGACACTTTGGGGTCAATTTTTAAACTATCTGCAAATATCTGTGAATGGCTGGCTCTTGTGACTATATGCCAAAACAAATATTCTTTAGTTTTTTTCTTTACAAGTACAATTAATTGTTGGATGTCTTTATGTAATATTGCATTATGACCACTAGATGGAGCTAAACCATACATGTGAATCCAGCCTTCATCCAGAGGGTGTTTTTTTTAATGTTCAGACCATGTTTTGCTGAACCCCTGCATCACATGGCATTCTTTAAATGCCTACTGTTCAGCTTTAAAATATTTTAGTGAATAACACCAAAACATGCTTTAAAACATGTGCTTCATATCCATAAAGCAGTGACGGGTTGGGACCCAAATTAGGTTGTGGATGTGTTTGGGATGGGTCCCCACTTCACTTTGTGTTCAAACACCAAATCAGCAAGTATTTGGTGAGTGATAGCACATTGACTATGACTGCCGTGCCATCAGAGACATGTATGGGGAGTTGGAGCTCGTGTGAGGTGGGGAGGCAAAGGACCTGGTACTAGTTGGAAAGGTCTACTACTAAAAGAAAGTAAAACAAAAGGTTTTATTTCATTTGTTTTTAGTAAAGCTCACACCATGAAAACAAACCCAAAAATTAGTTATTTTATTAGGACAGAAAAGCTTCCAAAAACAGTGTTTTTTGACAGGGGAAAAGTAAGGCATTTGAGACATAATCAGATGGTAAGATATCCATGTAGCAAGGATAACTTGCCACAAACTTGTGGCAGGGTTAAACTGTAATTCTTGTTAACTTGCTCCACACATTCCTGGCAAGTTGTAGACTTGCAGAACTCTTGCAGCACAAATTCTAGTTGACACTTTTTGAATTTGTAGCAAATTTGCTTGGCAAGTCTACAGCAAGAGTCCTGCAGGTCTTAGCAAGAGCTCTGCAACTGTACAGCACTTTTGCAACGCACGTTGATCTGGAGACTTGCAATGCAGACTTGCTGCAATTGTGCAACAAAATTGTGAAGCTTGGCGAGTCTGCAATAGTTTAGCAAGTCATTTTCAAACTTGCAGCTCAATTGCTTGCTATCTGGGATAGTAGCTGCGGGTAGTTAGCTAGCATCATACTATCAGTTCAGGTTATGATGTTCTGCAGTGGTTCTCATGCACAGTCTTTCCTGTAACATGATTTATTATGATGGTAGCAAATCACAAATGTATTATTTACTTAAAAGTATTGCATACGATTAAACAAACTCATTATCTGATTCCCCCACTTCATTTTCCTGCCTTTCACAACTAATATAGTAAAACTGTCCAGGCACCCATATTAATCCTAAGGCCTGGTTCACACCTGGGCGTTTTGTAGCGCGTTCGAATTCGCTGCAAAACGCTCAAACACCGAAATTCCATTATTTCCTATGGGTAGGGTTCACACCTGGGCGTATTACAGGCCGTATGAACACGCTACAAAACGCCCTACGCCCCAAAAAGTACAGGAGCTTCTTTGGGACGTTTTTGTCGCGCGTTTCCATTGGGATACAGCCAGGTAGCCCTCGGAAACGTGTGTTTGTCGCGCGTTTTTTACCGTGAACCGGTAAAAATGTGCGTCACGAAACCCTTGACAAACGCACATATTCGATACACCTAGGTGTGAACCCAGCCTAAGGGAACAAAGAAGCATAAGATGTGTTACACAGGTAACAAATCCCCGTCATAACAAAAACCCCTAAGGGTTGATGAAGAAAAAGAAAAAACAACTGTATTTTTATCTCTCATCTATTCACATATACTCAGTTATTTCTCATACCTCTAGAAAAATCCACAAATTATTGGACAAGTCCTCACTGTTTACCATGTAGTCTGTGCATTTTCCTTTTTGAAATAGTTTGCAGGGAACTTACAGTTTGCACACTCTGGGTTCTATAACCAAAATGCTACAAGTTGGTTCTGGATGTACAGATGCAGAGGAATGTTTTAGCCTATCTGCCCCAGCCCTACCAGTGTAGGAAGTAGAGGTACTGTATATGAGTTTTAGTCTGAGGTGTAGGAAAATGAAATACATATTACTATATGTGACATAAAATACATCTTCCCATTAGGTGTCGACCGATATCATTTTTTCAGAACCGATACCAATTATGGGCCACTTTTCAGGACAATAATTGATATCAGCTGCAGATAATCTGTTTACATCCGGCTGCAGAATCTTGCACCAGCAGATGAACATGGCTATGTGTTCATCTGCCAGCGGCAAGATTCAGCAGCTGGTAGCTGAATGTAAACAGCAGGCAATTTGAAATAGCCAATAGCAGGCTGGCTATTGCTCCCGCCTACTGCGCGCTGTTTGCATTCAGCTGCCGGCTGTTGAATCTAGCCTTCGGCAGATGAATGGGCCCCTGAGGGGGGAGGGCATACTGGAGGCACTGGATGTGCGAGGTGGATATTGAATGTAGTGGTTTTGGTGGGCACACTGGAGGCGCTAGTTGCTGCTGCAGCGAAAGGGCGTCTGCCGGTGGAGGCTCCCCTTCACTTTTGGCACTTATCGGCAATATTGGAAGACTTAAGATGGATACCAATTATTTTACAATTTGTGAATATCGGCCATAATAATCGGTAGATTCGATAATCGGTCAACCCCTACTTCCCATTGTACATCTGCCATAATAGAATGCATACATGAAAAGAATGCTTGATGGTGCGGAGTCGGGGCACAACATCCCCCTAGTTTCACGACTGAATGAAAAGGTAGTGCCTATCTTCTCTTTCTGCATAATTTGCAAGACATTGCTACAAAATGACTGATGCTTATTTAAGTTTCAACATTAAAAGGTGTTTAGTCAAACATAGTGAATAGTTACACATTACCTCATTAGAATGTGCAAAAAATGAATGAATTAAAAAATTATCTTACGTGACTGCCTGTGGTCGTACCATCACACCACCTGTGCAGCGACTTGGGCGCCGGGGAGATTCTGACGTCATGTTTGAAATACTGATCACTTTACGAACACCAGGCTCTGAAAAACAGATACAGTATTTAATGCAACATTCACTTGAAGGCATTTTAACTTAAAGTTAAATTCCAAGCATATAGATAAAAAAAAAAACATTAAATCAAGTTATTTATTCATTAATGAACTCATTGTTACGTAGAACAAACATAAGTAACTGAATTTGTGATGAAATTAGCCTCCTGTAAAGCATTGTACAGGGTGTGATTTATAAAGAGAAGGAAAAGCACTGTGAGCCAATAACGGCTCCATTTCTTTGTACAGGGCTGTCTATGAACATGCTCACAAGTGGAGATAGCCCAAGGAAAATCTCAGTGTGCTGCTGCCTTTTCATTGTTCAATCACAGATTCAGGCAGGTCACAGACCAGGCTGTAGTGATTTACTACTGTGACTTCCACAGAGGTCTGGCTGCTGCCTGGCTTGGGTGTCTAGATTACTGGACACAAACCAGCAGAGCACAACTCTAGATACAAAATTGATCACTTAATGAGAAAATTGTGAAAAATAGGATTTCTGTACTCACTGTAAAATCCTTTTCTTGGTTGGGCCACAGGAAGTCAACTACTGTTGTGTTATACTGCCCCCTACAGAAGGATTGGACCCTAGCAAATAAAAAAAAAACCTGTAGGCCAGCCCAAGATAACCCCCTTGTATTCCCAGCATGCCTCAATTTGTAGCAAGCAGTACTAAGAGCATTGTCATAAACACAGAGGGGTAAATTCCGTGTCCCTCAATGGACTCCAAAAAAAAAGGATTTTATGGTGAGCACAAAAATCCTACTTACCTTCTTTTCCATTGAGAAACACAGGAAGTCATCTACTGTCAAGACATTCAAAAGCAGTCTAACTGGGGGGTGGGCAAACAGCAATCAACTGCTAAATGGCCCAAAAAAATAGAACTGTGGACTGCTTGCCGTTTAAGAGCCATCTGAAGGACCAATGCCTGAATATGATGAGGTAGAGACTGACCTGATAATCAAGACCAAGAAACAAATGGTCACTATCCAGAGAGGAATGAACCAACATGGGAGAGAGCACTGAACTATAAAACCAAGAAGTGAGAAGCTGGTCAATCTGAACCCACCAGAAAGGTGGAACATAAAAAGTTTTACCAACGGGAAAGAAACAAAAAGCTATGCTGTGGCACAAGGGGGTAGACGAGTAGCTAAAGGGTGAGTGATATGCAAGGGACTAGCCTGTAAACCTAAAGGGGTGGTCTCTATACCTGGATACCTGAAGGACAAACTTCCCAAAGGCTTGCAAGGATTAGCAACCATCCCCCTACTTGAAAAACCTTCATAATAAAGACTTATCGGAGGATTTAACAGGTTTCTTGTTCTAGAATTGCAGGCTGCTGGATGACTAGGCTTAGAGGGTCTGGTTTGAACAGACCAGAGATTGCAGAAGAAGAAGCAGCGCAATGCTTCCTCAATGGGAAAAATGGTAGGAAAGAGAGCATGTGTCACTCCATCTAGTGGATGTAGTCAACGCTCAGTCTCTCAGCATTAACCCCTTCAACAGTAAAAACAGCAAAAAGCAGGAAATTCAAAGCCCACCACCGGCTGTAAACTGCCCGCAGGGCAAATAATGAGACATCTCCCAGTGATTAGCCCCAATCGGCCTAATCACAGAGTGAATCTTCAGAGACAGGGCAAGCGCAGACGCAATATCAGGAGCTCTAGACCTGGAAAGTGCCAACACAAAACCCAGTGCTCAAAGGTCAGACCAAAACTAGGGTGAGGAGAGGCTGATTCAAATAATTGCTATGTAGACCAGCTCAAACAGCGATGTATCTTGATTGCAGAAAATGCAAATAAGAATTGAAGAAAATGTTAGCAAAATACTTTTCCCAGCAGAACTAATTAGAAGTCATCCATCCTCCTAGGACACTAGCAAAAAACTGGGGTATGCGAGGAATAGGAGGGGTTAGCCGGAGCTGACCTAGAAACTTTTTTATCTGTAAAAAATCAGTCAAGGCGACTGGACTTGCTGCATTTTTCTTGAAGACGTTTCACTGGACATTTTTTTTAGAAACTTTTTTGTTTGCCAGTTTCCAATTCTCCTGTAAGCAGCAGTATAATCTGACAGTGGATGACTTTCTGTGTTGAAAGAGAAGAAAAGGATTCTCCAACTTGTTGACACATCATTCTGTGCACATGATAATAGTTTTCAAAAACTGTTATCAGTACAAACATTGAGCACACAGGGAAACTACAGTCTAAATTTTGGCAATTACTGTTGAAATCGTAAATGTGAATTTCACGAAGTATGGCCAGCTATTCCAAAATAATACAATAATCATAAAATAATCTGATGTTTCCTTTTGTTTGTTCACTTCAACATAGGAATATTTATGATTATAAGAGAACAAGAACAATCAAAGTTCTTGTCGTCTGACGATGTATTCACACCAAGCGACAGCGTTTTCGCTCCTTTCTACATGTGTTTTCACTGCACGTTTTTTTGTGCACGTTTGTGACACATTGATGTAAATGGGCAAATGCACATTTTTGGGCGCTTCCATGAGGAATATGGGGCAAAAAAGCGCTTAGTCTGCCAAAAAGAAAGCTCATGTACTTTTTCCCAGCGACGTGCATAGAAAGGAATGGAATTTTGTTTTGGGCAGTTCTTTAGCGTTTTTTTAGGACAGAAAAAGTGCTACAAAACGCTAGGTATAAATCAGGGCTAAGAATCATTGAAGGTAATTTATCAAAACTGGAGCAGACAAAATCTGGAGATTTGCACTGCAACCAATCAGCTTCTCGGTCTCATTTTCAAATCTTACCTGAGCAAACTGAAGAGAGATGCTGATTGGTTGCCATGGGCAGATTGTGACTGCTCCAGTTTTGATAAATTCCCCCCATTCACTCTATGATCAGCCTAATTTCGGCTCCCAAACAGCCAATGTATTCATAACGCTTACCGTATATACTCGAGTATAAGCCGAGTTTTTCAGCCCATTTTTTTTGCTGAAAAGTCCCCCCCTCGGCTTATACTCGAGTCAGCGTCTCGAGCTGGTCAGGTTTCTTCTTACTTACCTCGCCGAGCGTCGCGTCACTGCTGCTCCGGTGGGCGGCGCTCCGAGCGGGGTCATCTGGCAGTCTCCGGGTCCTAATTTAGGTGGCCGGAGACTGCCAGATGACCCCGCTCGGAGCGCCGCCCACCGGAGCAGCAGTGACGCGACGCTCGGCGAGGTAAGTAAGAAAAAAAAAAAAACCCCTGCAGCGGCCAGTCAGGAGCAGGGGAGCAGGGATGAGTCAGCGGCGCGCTGATCAGGCGAGAGGAGCTCCAGGTGGGGTTGTAATTTAGCGGGCAGGCACCTCTGAGCCAGCTAAATTAGGACCCCACCTGGAGCTCCTCTCGTCTGATCAGCGCGCCGCTGACTCGTCCCTGCTCTCTCCGTGATGTGATGATCCGATCACCGGCACACAGTGAGTGAGGGGAGGGGAGGGAGGGGGGTAGAGAGAGAGATTAATTAAGCAATTATATATGTATTGTCTGCACTGTATTAGCAGTATATACTCTATATAGAGTATATACTGCTAATACAGTGCAGACAATACATTTACAATTATACTATGATAACATGAATGTATTAAATGATCTGTATGTAGCCCTGTACTATGGATCATTTAACCCATTCATGTTAGCAGAGGATCATTGTAAATGTATTGTTGCAGGCACTCTATATGTACATGTACTATATACTACATATAGAGTGCACTGAACAATAGATTTACAATTATCCTCTGCTAATATGAATGGGTTAAATGATCCGTAGTACATGATATGTAGCCCTGTACCCCCTTTTCCACTTACAGAGCTAGGTTATTGTTTTTCTTTTAAATAAATATTCATGTCATTTTATTGGTATCTATCTACCATTAGCTGCCTCATTTCCCACCCTCGGCTTATATTCGGGTCAATACTTTTTCCCAGTTTTTTGTAGTAAAATGAGGTACCTCGGCTTATATTCGGGACGGCTTATACTCGAGTATATACGGTAGATGAGATTGTATAAAACATAGGTTAACTAATAACACTGGATATATTGAAAAATGCTTTATTGGACCTAATCAATTTTTAAAGCTGGTCATACAAGTTACAATTCCTTTTTTTAAATCTAGTGGATATTGTATTATTTAGCCTGAAGTAAGTTACAAACCATGATGACCCCCACAGTACCATTTTACCTGCCAACAGCACATTCTAACTCAAGTTTTGCAACTAATAAAAAACACTTTCCTATTTTGGCTAAACTATGCAATTAAATACTTCAAAAAAGACTGAAAACTGGGAACTTTGCATACTCTTTACCAGGGGTTGTCAACTTGCAATATCGAGGAGGCTTCAACTGTGGCCCTTGACAGCTTCAAATGGCTGTAAATAACTTTCAGTATGGCATAAATCAGATACTTCTGACATACTAGACTGAGGCTGCAGACATTTAAAAGGGGTGATCGCAGGGGTTGAAAACACACTTGCAGGAGGTAGTCTTGCCCCTCGTCCGATCGCACTGCGGGGGGGGGGATGGGGAGTGGAAGCGGTACCATTGAATTCAATGCATTCAGGAATTCTCCTGCCCCAGAACGCAGGGGGAAGTTTTGTGAGCAGCTGAGGTGCGTTCCAGCAGCTACCGCTCTGGAACGCACCGCAATTGGTTGTGAACAAGCCCTAAAGAAAGACAGTAGAGTAACGATACAAATAAAGACAAGATGCTTAGCAGGGCCCTGCAAGGGAGAGCTTACAATTATTAAAGCTTCTTTAAAATAAATGCTTCCACTAGAGTCTGCAAAGGGTCAGAGAGCAAGTACCAATGGGCTGCATGTTGGAAACCAGGGCTCTATACCATGGTGCCCGCAAGGCACCCAACTGAGTCTTAACAACCAATAATGTCATCTGCCTCTGTAGAGGCTGGCAATAGCCTAAGTTTAAGTCTGTGGCCGCCGACAACATCTATAGCAATAGATGACGTCATCTGTTGCTAAGCATCAGTCAGGTGCT